GGTGATGCACGATCCTCGTTCATCAAGTGTATTTGATTAACGACTTTTATGTCATTTTTTAAGCAACAATTTATATTTTTGCTCGCATGCGAAAAGCGACGTACATCTATTTTAGAATATATCTCGTCAAGATAGCTTTCGCGAGCAAAACGAGGAGATTAGAAGCACGCGAATCGAATGTCGCTTTATTAGTGCATCCATGTAAAGTTTAAGTTGCAACTGGACTGGCGCAGGAAAACTTTTTAATGCGTAAGCTCACCTTAATTAAATTTCGTTACTTTCATCTTGTAGTGGACGCGACTCATCTCTTATTGAAGCTCACCAGTTTGTAAAAGCGCAAAGTCTTCGAGTTCTTCATTTCTTTTTCTTTTCTTGTTTTTTATAATTTACATAATGATTGAAATTAAGTATGGTTATTACATCTGCTGTGCTGACGAAAATACGATACAATGTACGATTACAACTTGAATGAAGTAGAAAAAGTGATATTTCAAAAATAAATCTTGTAAAAATATTACAGAATTTAATTATCAAATAACCGAAAAAGCTAATTTTATCAGATCGAGTTGAAATAATTATTATTCTCTTTGTATATTACATTTGCATGCATTATGATAAATGTAGCGTAATAACGCAAATACAAACAGGATATTTAATTTGTCGTTAATTATTTCTCTATAACAAAAATGGTAAGCACGGTTTTAAAAGAATATATAACCGGCAGCAAAACGTCAGACGCTGATGTATGCCGTGAGATAAAATGCCTCGAGGGCTGAAACGTGAACATGAATTAAGACGTGGAACATAAAATTAAGATTCATGTCGCATTTATTTATTATGCGCGTAATTTTAACACGAGAACGTAAATCTTCGCCAATAGCTGGATTTTCACAAGTCGCCTCTAGTTTTGAAAAATGTCCGAACAAGCACAAAGATTATTCTCGAAAAATTATGCTTAAATCTATTAGATGCAAATAATCTTGAAAAATGGAACACGGAAAACAATATATTTATTTCGAGATGACAAATTTGGCTGCCAAGTTTATTCTCAGATCGCGCGCGATATTTCGAGAGCACGTAACGCGACGAAATGATATCGGAAAGTTGGAGAGAAAATAGAAAATATCTTAGCGTACAATTTAATCTAATTTCCGACTCGTCGCGATGGTCTTTCCAGGTTCTCAATTACGTTTCATGGCAACATCCGGAATCGTTTTTTCCCTTTTAACCTATCGGGGCGATTATTTTTATTTATCGAATAAAAAAGCAGATTTACAAAGGTAAATGTTTGCACGATTTAATAACGCATAATACATATATTGCTATACGTTCGGCGCGCTCAATAAACAAACACTTTTACATTCTGACGGTTTGTCAACAAATTTTATAAATAAAAGCAATCGAATGAATTTTTAAAAACGTGCAAATTTTTTAAATAATTTACTCTTTAAAATAATTTATGCTTGCTTGATACGAAAGTCTTTCGATTTAACTCAAGAAATCGAGAGACAGATAGAATATAAATGTCAAAAAGTTCTTGCAAAAACATTGGAAAAACCAAGTTTTAACCGTTCGGATCTCTTTCAAACGATTTTAACTTCCTTTCTTGCGACAGATTCCAAACTGTTGACTACCTAAAATGACTTAAAAACCTCGAGTTTTTCGCGATTCGAGGTCTCTCGAGTGGCTGATATTATACGAGACTTGATAAAACTCTTGTGTCTACCTGTGAGACAATCGACACACGCGACACACAACGTCTCGATTACTAAGTTAGAAACTTTTTTCTATCCGCGGAGCTGTTTTTTGCCACGTCTCTCTCTCTCTCTCCTTTTGTCTATTACTCTCGACCAATCCCGTCGTTCTCTCAGGCTCGCCTCGACGAACCAACTCGCATTAATTGCCGGGAGTCACGACATGTCTCCATTACTCAAGAGCTTCGTTAAAGGGAGGCAAAGGGAATAAGAGAGCGCCGCGCGGATAAGGGGCGAGAGAGATAAAGGAGGTCGCAGCCATGTTTCACCATTATTTTTCACAAATTGGGCCCACGTGGCTGTTATTCTTAACGAGAATTGAACGACGGGCCCCATTATTCGAGGAATGAAAAAAGATTTCGACATATTTATAACACCTTCGTAAATTTCGTCATTGAAGTATTTCTGTTATTCCTCCATAAATAATATCCCGAATGTATCGCGCCTCATTGAGCTTTCAATTTAAGATCTAAATTTATACCGCGCACGACAAGACGCGACGTCGATTATCGTGAAATATAGAAGCGTCCTGAATGAACCGCATCCACGCGGATACAGCTTCCACTAATTAATCAGAAATTTCCTGCCGGCACCACCGACCGACCAATGCAACTAATAGACCTTGCTCCCTGAATCTCCCTGCCAATTATCCCGCCGTGTACTAATTAGCATATATGGACCGCGGTAACAAAGTTTCCCGCCTCCGACAGTGTCGTCCACGAAACTTACAGCTTTAACAACTCGCGAACCAACATTTTGATTTTACACAATCGAAACCAAAGTCTTTCCGAAAGTCGTTTGCGACTTGTAAAGCGGAATTAAAGTTACTCTCTAAAAGTGAATCAGTGTATTATCACTGAAACAGTAAATCACCGATTACAGCAGTTATAAGTATAGCACTGTAAATCAGTGATATTTTATTGAAAGAATCAGTTAATAATTTTGACTGTTTCAATCAGAAATATTTCTCAATATCAGTAATATTTCTTTCTAGCGTCAGTAATATTAAACTATAACAGTAAATAATTACTGATTACAGCAGTTATAAGTATAGCACTGTAAATCAGTGATATTTTATTGAAAGAATCAGTTAATAATTTTGGCTGTTTCAATCAGTAATATTTCTTTCTAGCGTCAGTAATATTAAACTATAACAGTAAATAATTACTGATTACAGCAGTTATAAGTATAGCACTGTAAATCAGTGATATTTTATTGAAAGAATCAGTTAATAATTTTGACTGTTTCAATCAGAAATATTTCTCAATATCAGTAATATTTCTTTCTAGCGTCAGTAATATTAAACTATAATTCGTCTCTTCATAATTTTCATTAAGTCGTCAGATATTTATTTGTCCGACTTATATAAGATCGATTTAATATCTGAAGTCTCTCTATTGAAATTGTATCAGACATTAAATCGAAGTAATACTTCTAATTTTATCTGTCGCTCTTTCCAAATTTTATATAATTCTTATGGCTAAAACTAAATACGAGAGAGATAGCGATCGTAGTGGTAAACCAACAAACTAGCTATTACTGGTTTTACAGTGAAATTTACTGGTTTTATAGTGAATTTTATTTTAACTGACCATAATCAGTGAGATAAAATAACAAAAAATAAGCGTTTCCACTGAAAATCTGATTCTCAGTGAAATCTTATTTTACTGTTTAAATTAGCGATAGTTTCACTGATTCACTTTCAGAGAGTACATCGAGACAGACTTTTATTCTTTTTAGTCTGTAAGAGAATATCGTGGGCGGATTCAACGACATTGGAAAAAAGTAGGTTTAACGTTGGATGCGGAACATGATCGCGCGTAGAAACAGGAAAGTATAAAATGCAAAATACTCTATTAACTTGGACAAAGTCGAAAGCTCGAGCAACTGTCCGCGCGTTAGAACGAGGGGGTGCTGTCGCGGCGGAAAAATCACCGGCAAGGTATACCCTCCCGCGTACGGAAACTTTAGCAGTTTATTATAGCCGAGCGCCGACATAGTTCTCCCTCAGTAGCGGAGTTTCGAGCAATGAGACGAAATAATCGCGTTTTTACGATAGTCGTGCGGAGTTTTACGAGAATCGGAAGCCCCGGCGACGCTTTTGTGCGGTAAAACTTGTTCGAATGCCACACGCGTCATAAAATCGACAAAGCGAGCTACAATAACGACGGGTTTTATCATATATATATATATGTGTGTGTGTGTGTGTGTGTGTTCCGACCGACATACTTTCCGAGTCTAATGCGAATGAATTCGTTTTTCTACGTTTCACAGAGTGGAATCGTTCGGATGCATAAATGTCGCGCGCAATCGTCGCGAAATATCGCGAGCGCGGAATTAAAAATTTCATTAAAACATTTTACGCTGTCCTATCGTGACAACGTTACGACATAATAATTATAATATCGTTATAATAATTACGATGTAAAATCACAAAAGCGGTAATTACACAGCGATTAATGGGAAAATACGTTTGAAAAGCGAGAATCGAAACGTGTAACGAGAAGCTTAAAATCGAGCGTTGAAAAATATTCAACGTTTCAACGAGTCTAATATCTTTCAGCGGTATGTTTTTTCCCCGACTCTCTCGAGCGACGCGATGGCCGACGGAAAAGGGAGAAGAGCTCCGCAGGGAAGAGGACGGACTCGTAATACCCGTTGGTAGATCGGACTTTGTATCCGGCTAATTAAGCATTGATAACTAACGAGGTTCCTTTGTGCCGTCACCGCCGCCGCCAGCGGATGAAAGTCCACGGAAAATTCCAACCGACACGTCGGATTAAATGCTTTAGTTGGCGCACGTCGAACCCGCGTTTGCCCGAATTCGAGATGCAAACTGCGAGAACTTTAATCCCCGCTGATGCGAATTACGCGAGGCATGTTATCGTCGTAGACGGGGAGGATGGATTCTCTTTTTCGCTCACGGCGAAGAAGCGTTGGAGCCGGTGTCGGAATCGATCGCTTCGTTCCCGGCCTCGTTTCCTACTTTATCATGCGAGGACGATGATTAATTTAACGAACTCCTACGTATAAGCCTTCCCTTTCGAGCTCGTCGAGTGATTGTTTGATTTTGTTCGGGGAACGCGAAATATGAGTGCGCGCAGGATATACTATTTATAATGCCATAAGGCGTTTCTTCTTTTCTTCTTTTTTTTTACGCACAATGCACGTCCGTTAATTTGTGGCGCGACCAGCAAAGAGTAAGACTAGATCGCTTGAAATCCATATCGCAATTTTCTGTTACAGTTTTATCAACTCCTGGAGGCTAGTCAGGTGGCCAATACAACTCTGACGTATCGCCACGTGACTGTGTTTGCGCCGACTAATCGGGCATTCCAGAAGTACGGCGGAAACTTTAAGAATTTGGTTCTGTATCACATGTGTGAGTATATCGTAAAATATCAAAAAATCAAATTTTCATTGATTTCGTTAAAATAAAAATATAAAATATATCATTTAAGCAAAGATACTTGGCAAAGATACCTGAAAAAGTATTCTGAAATTTTTCTCTACTAAGATTATACACAGAGAAAAATATCATTCTACTGCCAAGAAAAGTGATTACTCAGTTTATTTTTCTTCTTTTAAGTAATAGTTTTCTTCAACAAAGAATATATTCTTGATAATAATCTTAAAATATATTCATCACAAGTGTTGGAAAATCTCATTATCATGTACTCAAGAGAAGAATTTATTTTCTCTTCAAGAATATTGTAAAGTTGTATCAAAGAAAAATCAAACTTACTTTACGTCAACTCTTGTAGTGAGCGAACCAAATTTTTGTTTTAATTTAATATTCTTGACCAAAATATTGCACTTACTAAATTCAGAATATATTCAATTAAATTTAATGCTTGTGGTAAACTTGTGATACATTTGCGGATATGCAAACTTATGATATACTTAAAATAAATCATATTTACTTGAATACAGTATACATTTTTCTCTGTGTACAATATTAAAAAATTGGAGAAGTATTAGAAAATTTTATAAATTAATCTCTCGAAAAAAGAATAAAATGATAAAAAGTATGTATGCGCCCGCGCGCGCATGCGATGCAATATTTGAATATCTTCGCGCATTTGCGAAATCCGCAAACAATCGAGAAAATTTCGTTGTCTCCGCTATTGTACCGCGTTTTCCGGAACCGGGGGTCGCGACGACGCGGGAAAATTCTCGACACGATCGGAAACTCAATTTCCACAGTTTGCGCGAGACCGTCCCTGCCTCTACCGCATCTGCATTATTTCCTTTCTTCGTCCGGCTTTCGCTTCGCTCGGCTTTCGCGCCGAAGTGCATTAGCTTCACCGAGCCGAGTTTCGGTATTTCGCGCTTTGATCTCGACCGAACGTTTGCATCCGTAATGCATCCGCCGAGCTGCAAAGCCGCGGCGGATCGGAAGATGCATTCTATATGCGCGCCGGACGTTTACGCGCTTTCGTAATTCAGGGCTTCTTCGATGGCCACGAATATAACGGGAAGCAACGGGTAGCCGTAACGTCCGTTATCGACGTATTCGCGTTTACGGCCATTCGACCATCCATTTGGGCATTCATCGATGTAGATCCTGATAGAAAGGGAAGAACGGGCGGGGGGGAAAGAGAGGAGCATTGTTGCGATTGAGCGTAGCTGACTAATATCGCGCAGCGTCAACGACGTGTCAGTCGATCCGTTCGCGTTAATGCATCCTGTTGCACTTTATTGTGCGTCGAATGGAAATGGAAACGAGCTCGCGCGCGCGCAAGGCAATCGCATTCACGCGAATTGTTCTCATTTTGAATATCGAAGAAATACGTAGTACGTTTTTTAATATCCGCGTATAATTTCCATCGACGCAAAAGCGTTCCTCGACTATCGCAATTTCGAAATATCGGACAATTTCTGCGTCGGAAAAATATGTGAAAAATCAATAAAGTCGTCAAGAATAGAGACTCGTATTTTCAAGACGCGCTATACTTTAATAGAGAAAAGTTGGCATAGAAGAAATTGTATTAAGTCGTTTTTTCGATCGTGATCCCTGGAATTCATCGTTTCGGTCATCCAGTCTAAAAGACGCGTCGTCTTTGATCAATAAGGAACACGCGGCAAACAAGCTGCTCAATCAAAATCCATATTATCCTTAGCGGGTTACGGTAAACGCGACGACGGGCCTCGTTAGGCGCGCCCTCCCTCGTTCGCCTCGCCCCGGCCCCCGACTCGCCCCGTCTTCGCGTCCGCGTCGTCCGTGTGTTTACGATGTCGCGCGCGGTGTGTAATTTCGTCGCGCGATGTTTGCGTTGCCACGCGCGCGGGGCGACCTGGCGAAACGCTTACACGGATAGTCGCATCGGCGTGGCACGGCGCCATCGATCTCGACGGAGACTCGAAGGCAAACACGAGAGCGGCCCCGCTCCCCGGCCCCGGTGCGTGCCCTTCCGTGCTTGCGTTAAACCCGGCGATAAGAAGGGCCGCGCCTTCGACCGCGCAACCGACCACGCCGGGAAATAATTAATCCGATTTCAACGGCTAAGCCGCGCGTACCCGTGACCCTCTCGGTGAGCGTCGCACCGGAAAACGAGCGTTTCATGGAGCGAGCTTTCACGACGGGGTGGCCGGTATTATTATGCGAATCTTCGGGCGAGTCTGTCAAACGATTCGGGGGAACATCCAGTATAGCGAGAATTTGCGGAAGCGTAAAAGAAAAATTGTCGTCGATGGAAAAAAATTTAAATGTATGTGTTAATTTATTTTAAAAATATTTAAATGTATGCATTAATTTATTTTTGTTTATATAAAAAAAATTGTGTGAGATAAGTAACATTACATGATGCTTTGAGGGCGATGGAGGATTTTCTTTCAATTATTACAAAAAAGGAAAAAATACTAGCTCCACACGCGTGTGGCTAATCTGAGAGAAATGTTTCTCTCTTGAAACTCATTCTCGCCACAATAAAAGTATCTTCTTCACAAACTTCTGTCAACGATACACTCCCGAGTACTTATTCTTTAAGTCCGTTTTCCTCCATCGGGGATAATGTCGCGAGTTACCCGGACGAATTACCTCGGAGACTACCGCGGGAAATGTTCGGACTGAATAATCAAAGGTCGTAAGGTCGTTGACTTGCGTTTGATGCGATCAATGTTATTCGGCCCGAGGCATTTTTTCCATCAACTACTCCGAGAACGACGACGACAACGGGAACGAAGGAAGGAGGGTCGTCACCGGTGACGTTCGTCGACGGGCCGCTGCTTCTACTCCTCGTCGACTGCTCGTCGAACGTTTCACCTTGTCTTTTTTTTTTGTCTACGCCAGAGCGACGTATTGGAGAGCAAACAGCTCGAACGAAATTACCGCGTGCAAAAGACTTTTTACGAGACGCGTCTTGTGAAAGAGATTGTCAAGAATTACATTATCCTCCTTCCCTTCGCCCCGTCATCCGCTCTTTCCCCGTCCTTCCCACTCGCCGTGATGCGGGGTAAATAAAAGACGCCGGCTTGATGCTCTCGAGAAAGCACGGCGATAGTTATGCTCGCGTGATGCTGTTGACTGCATCGATTCGAAGCAGCTCAAAGCGTAAGCTGAAAATTATTTACTAGAGCTAATGAACGGGAGATAAGTAACTTTGTCCCCTCATTTTTGTTACGTACTTTCATAATAACACGCCACTTTACGTAAGAGTAATATTTTACTTTACATCTCTCCCGTCACATTAGATCACGAATCTCTCTCAACTTACGGATATTTGCGCCCGTAACTTTTTTAAGGATTTAAATTCTTGACGTTTCAAATATGTTTAAATTCTCGTTTATCTGAACGTTTTCGCGCACTTTTTCGCGACGACTCGCGGACAATAAACTTTAGCGGAATTATAGCAAATCGCAATTTACCCGACCGTAACTTTGGACAAAACCGTTTCATTTCTTTTTTTTTTCGTTGGCGCAGAATTCAAACGGAATGGAGAACTAAGAGGTCGAAGCTACGACTTCGTTCCCTTTATCCCTTGAGAGAGTGTCGGGGTCCCTGGCGGTAAGAAAAGGCTCTCTTTATCTCGTCAAGTCGGCGCCTATCTCGGCGGCACTTTGCCTCGAGCGATAGCGAAAGGACTGACCCTGCGCTGTCTCTCTCTCTCTCTCTCTCTCTCTTTCTCTCTATCGCGCGCGAATCTACTGCAATTTTGTACATCGCGAAAAGTTTCACAATTAGTCTTGGAACTTTCATAATTCCGCAGCTTAACCCGCCTTGTTTTGCGGCCGAGCGTTACTGCGGTCGGTTTAATTTATCATTTTACCTCTCGCTCGACTACCTCGACTTTCCCCTCGTCTCACCCCGGCCTGCTCCTCCGTCCCGTTCATTCTTGCGCGATTTCTCGCTCTCAGTCGAATCTTAAAGGCTAAGCGCTTTTAATGATATCTCGATATTCGAATAATTGGAAAGAAATTTTTTCCGAATAAAAATAATTCATTTAATTGTAAATTATACAAATTCTACGATTCGTTCCGCGTTTTACAAATCCAGCTTTCAAATGCACGCAAACGTCTCGTACATTTCGAGTCGTAAGCGGAATAAAAATTTGTTACAATTTTTAAAACGACCGAAGAAAGCATCCAAGTTGTATTCGCGATAAAATTTGAATGGAAGAAACTTTTACGAGTGAAGCGACACAGGTGTAGAGACTCAACGGTGGAAGCTTACGACAGTCGTGAGGCTGGATATTATCCTACTTTAAATACATGGACGATCGAGTAAAGATTTAAGGAGTGTAGGTCAACCGCAGCGGGCGAGCCGTTCATTCCAAAGTCACATTGTGCGGCGAGATAATGCCTTGCAAAAGATACGGCGTGGCTAAAATTGCACGAGGTTAACAAAGAACGTTTCTACGTATCGCACGTATTCGCGGGAACGATTACGCTTGAATTTTTCAAGAGTTCCGATGCCCGGCAAAGAATTGAAATCTAATTTTAATAAGGGGCGTAGCAAATTTCGAATCAGTTTCCAGAGTATCTTACGCGGATAGAAGATTTTTAGCCCGCTTCGCGTTTCACGTGCGTCGCGAGCTCACGTATATTCCTGAATAGAATACGAATCCTGTTGTAGATTTTCATTTGGAAATCCTCGACGCTCGCTATTGAGAATCTACGGTTTCGAACAATCGCGAATATGACGAATCTAAACGACAATTCAAAACACTTGGAGCCAAACGAGACGCTCTTTCATTCCGTTCGTAACATGCGACGGTGACAATGGCGGGGTATTTCGACTGCCGGCAAATTTAGTCGCGCAAAGTTAAAGACTTGGGTTCGCCCCGGGGACGAAGAAGGCGCGGAGAGGACAAGCAAAGAAGACCCGGAGAGCGTCGGTCGCTAGATGGGTGGCTGCGAGATTGGTGGTCAGGGGAGGGGAAT